TGAAGGTAAATTAAATATCTGACAGTGATCATTACACAGTGTGGCTCTAACTCCTCACTTCACCATCTGTGTCGCAGTTTCCCGTCTCCAAAATGAGTGTACGCATGGTTCAGAGCTGGCGTGAGGCACCGCACATTTTCACGTCAACTTTGGATTTTATAAATCACAACCTTAGCGTGAAAAGTGGCGTACGCAAGTTTCTGGGCTCAAATTGTGCGTACGCCAGTTTTATAAATCCGACCCCAGGTCTTTACAGTATGGAGTACTAAATCAGATACTTATCCGATGTTTTTCAAAGCTTCCTCAGTCTGAACGCTCATATCACATTTTGTTATTTTACGTTGAGATAGAACAAATGGCTCCTTTAAGGGATCCAGATCTTGACAAGCTGTTTCTTAGAGACGTTCAATAAAGCCATTCGATTTTGAACGAGCGTCGTCCTCACATAGGAACATATGTCATTACCTACACTGTGATGGTGCAATTCCGTCATATTGGTGGAAGAGCGATTGTCTCTGTGGTTGAGAGAAAAAATAAAGATTCCAACGTGTCCCCTGTTTGGTTCTTATTGTTCGTTGTAAGGAGCACGAATGTCACATCTTTACTTTGAAGTCAGTGAGGTAGGATGAAGCGGATTGATCCAAGTATTAATATTACTGAACCCAACCTTGTGCAGTTTAAATCKTGGGACTCTGTAGAAGTCCACTTGCTTTGTCTCAGTTCTTTTAATTGTCTATTTCCAAATTAGCCATAACCACGCAAAAAAAATGGAATTGAGCTTTAAGACCTGCAGTTTGAACATAGACAAAGAGTGGCCCCAGAACTGGTCCCTGGGGGACACCTCGCTATAGGAAAGAAATAGAATGATGATGCCTTCAGCTTTCAAACATTGAAATCTGTAAGAGAAAGGTTGACATGAGCAGTTTAGAGCCATACTCCCATGATCCCACTCTGCCTGTGGAAAGCCGGCGTCACTTCAGCCAAAACCTCAGATGAGTTCTCATGATTGTGTCGCGTTGCTTATTGTGTCCCCCAACTCCACTTTTGATCTTTTCCAGTGAACTCTGCAGCAGTCTGGGAGGAGAATGTGAAGTCCTCCAGTCCAGGTTTGTGGTTGGCTCTTTGAGCCTCAACATTGATCTGCATGAACAGACTCCTCCACGGTGCAGAGGACAGCATGTTTTCCACCTGTCAGCTGTTTTCTATTTTATTTTATTTTATTTTATTTTTCCTCTCCAGTTTCTAACTTCAGTGTTTTATTGCTGAAAGTACACAAGCTCAGCTTTTTTCTTTATTCTTAGGGATTGCTTGATTATTAGAAAATATAGTCAAGAATCTTGGAATTTTATAAAAGCAGTTAGCTTCAGTGGGTGGAAAAAGTCAAATAAAAAAAACTTAAATTCTGGTTATTGATGTCAGTTTCTCTTTCTAACGTTTCATTTCACAGTTCAGGTATTAAAACATTTAATCATTTCTGTTTTGCTCCCGTTTTGTTTACAACGTTGCTAAAAGTCAGATGATTTTTTWAAATGTTTTAACAAGTGTTTGATCTGATTAAAACAGGTAACTAATCTTTTGTTTCATTTAGACTCTTGATTTGTGTGATTGCCTTGATCTGTTTCTCTCTCAGCTWAGCATGATGCTGAGTCACGCAGCCCTGAAGAGCTGCATGTTGTCAGGTCCACTGATACCTGGTTCCTTTAAATACTGTCTGATTTAGAGGTTTGTGTTGCTCTGTTTGTCCCTCAGATCCTTCTCAGCCTGCTGCCCCTGCAGCTGGAGGGAAAACAGCCTCGGGGGCTCGCAAGATGGTTGCCATTTTTGATTATGATCCACGAGAGAGCTCCCCCAACACTGACATAGAGGTCCGAACTTTCTATCCGTTTTTAATTTTAAACGGTGTTTGTGGTAAGTATGAGGGAAATAATCAGGCCTTTTGGTTCTAACTGTGTTTAGGCAGAGCTGACCTTCAGTGCTGGAGATATCATCCACGTGTTTGGTGACATGGACGAAGACGGGTTCTTTTACGTAAGTGTCCAACTCTTGACTGTCAAACTTTACATCCAAGATATGCTGGCCATTTTGAATGAGAATTCTGTAGAAAAGTATTAAACCAGGGTTTCTCTAAGTTTTATAATGCAAACTACCTCTTCAAGCTCCACCTCCTATCAAGTAGGGGTCTCTACAGTACATAGGGGCTGTCTCATGTAGCCCATGRGCCATGTCCTTCCCAGTCTGGGCAGGCTGCACTTGACATGTTTGCATGATCACGCGCTACTATCATAGTGATCGGTTTCATATCAGACTTTAAATGCATTAGGACGTGTAATTACACATTTCTGTTTGCAAAGGCCTCCGTTTGAGGAAACGGCTTGTCTGATTGGACCCACTTCCAAAGTGGACTGTTTGTTCAAAACAAGTCTGACCCTAAAAATGTTTAATTAGTTCATGTGAGCATTATTTCAATGTTCTTTACACCATCATTGGTTCTTTAATTTATGGTTATTTACATCAAAATCTGTTCTTTTGCAAACAAAGTAACCTCAGCACCTCACTAACAGCCTCAGACTCTTCTGGCAGGAAAGTCGTTTTATTTCAACCAAAAKAACTGGGTGCTGCAGAACTGAAGRCGATTATATTTTCTGAACTGTTATGAAGATTTAAGTATTCAAACTGTTTTTGAACACCTCTTATCTGCACAATGTAATAGCACTTCATGCAAACAACAAGTTTCAGATACAGTTACACAGCACAAGAAGTGCTACAGCTAGCTGCTGCTGAGCCTCTTTGTAAATATCGTTGTAATGCAGAATGAAGAGTGAAACCTCCACCTTTTAGAACAAGTGGAGAATGTTTTTCATTAAGTTAGAGTATTTGGTCCTTCAGGGGGACCTGAATGGACACAGAGGTTTAGTCCCGTCCAACTTCCTTCAGCCCATTCCAGACGAGGCTCCAACAGAACCGGTTTGTGGCCAAACTGCACCAGAGCCCAAGAAAGAATCTCTGGTAAGGTATCCTGTCAGTCTCTTCAGCATGGATGCATATCTCTAAACCATTTTTCTTTTTTTATCTCTGACATCTAAAGTTTCTTTATGTTGTTAATTTTCTGTCATTTACAATCGCATGGTTGTTTTTTTGGTTTTCTTCTTTTTTCAAACCTGCATCCTGTCACATCTCTTCTGCCTCACTGTTTCCTGCATGACGTTTTACAGAAGCAAAAACGATCTGTTCACTTTGAGACGTGATCGTAAGTGTTTCAGATGGTTCCACCTYGTTTTTATAACTTCTTCCCACCCCGTTCAGCTGCTTATAGAACCCTACATCTGGTGTTAGCTTGTTAAACCATCCCTTTAGCTTCTCCTACAGTTAAAAGCTTTCATCAACAAGACACATAGAGCTTACCTTCAGACTATTAATCATGACTCATWCAATAAAAGTCCAGATTCTTTCAGTCCTGGTTTTTTTTTTAGGTTACCAGCTTTTAAAATATACTAAAATACAAACATCACAGACTACACTGTCATAAAGAAAAAAATTGTATAGTTCTTCTGGACGGGTTCTTCTCTAATGAAACGTTTCGTCTCTCCTCCAAGAAACTTCTTCAGTCTGAGTTTCAGGCAAAATTCAGGCTTTTCAGCCCTGCCTCCAGGTGACTGATACTCACGTCACATGGCTATCGTTGACACCTAATTAACACCTATTGTTAACAAGGGCTGAAGTGATACTGGCAATGGCAGCGCTGTAGGAGGGGGACAACTGAAAATGGAGGCCTCCACCTCTGTTTAATGATGGA